GGGCCTGACACCTGAACCACAGGTTGCAGGGGAGGAGGAGGGGGCCCCACCGCAGCACATGCCAGTAGAAGAGAAACTGACAGTAGTGGCGGACTGGTTGATGACAACTTTAAGGGCAAAGTACGACCCTGTCACGGAGGGGTTCTGGGACCAAATGTACATTGATTTGTTCACGTTGCTGTATTCGAGCGCATCCCTGAAAGAAGCGCTGGAACGTGGCCTACGGGCTAGGATGCAGTGTGCGGAGGCTTGGCACAGACTAGCCACTATGGTCTTTGCGCGGTTCCGTCCGTCGGCGCAGGCCACCTCGACCTCCCCTGTTGTGGCTGAGCTGGCTAAGCCTTCCGCTACCTCGACCTCGCAGCATAATGGGGAACACAAGGCCCCGCTGGCCTTGGCTCCTGACCCAAAACCAGCTGACGCCCCTCCGGATTCTGACGAGAACACACCGCTGGCACAGGTGAGGAAAAGGAAACTTAGGCACCTTATCGAAATGGGACAGGGCATGGGGCCGCCATCAGAATAGGTGGCGCTTTTGATCCCAATACACCTGAAGGAGGGGAGATGAGAGATAGGACTATCCCCTGTGGAAGGAAGCAAACACGGAGGGGTGACCTTGCAGGGGTGGACCTCCTTTTGGGCAGAACCGTGCAACCGACACTCTAAGGACGCTGCAGAGATCCTGAAAATGCATTTGTCCACCCACATCATGGAAACATATGCACCGGGAGCACATACCTTTCAGCTGATCACTGCAGGCCCCGCCAAAATGGCACAAATAGATGTTCTCATCTGCTTTGATCTGACGAAGGAAGACCTGCAATGGTTCACTACAGAAACGACCTGCTGTCAGGGGCAAGGGACTGGAAAAAGGAGCAACAGTTGTGGGAGCGACTGAGGTAACCACATCACTATGGCAATGGACCCGGTCAAAGCAGTGTATGGCAAGGATAAAATCTGGAACCAATGTCAAAGAGTGGCGAACTTGGACCTACGCTTCCTGAATGGTTTGGCCGCACTAAAACCAAAAAACAACGAGCAATCTGGGATCTCTCCAGAGGGGTGGGGGGCAGGAATTGGTTGGATGCTATCTGCGTACAAGAGACCCACCTCATGGACTCACATGAACATGGCAGAGTTCATAAACAAATTTGGCCACACAGGCCCACCACAAGCAACAGCTGAGTGGCAGGCGGTAGCACTGCTGACGGTGGGCGGAGGGAAGCGCCTAGCGCACGCGCGTCCGACAGAGGCACTAGACGGCACACGTCACAGGTTGACGTGTACTCCCGTCTGACCTGTGGTGAGCGGGTGAGGTGAGGGGACTTGCGTCCCTTCTATCACGTGTTCCCTGGGTTTCGCGCAGAAGACTCCATAGCCATCGTGGTTGACAAACACAGTAAAAGGCATAGTGTGCATTGACTCCGGTCAATGTCGATGGTGTCAAGCGAAGAGAGCCCCTAGCAAGGCAAAGTGTGTGAATATTGGCGTCGTTCCAATCTATAGCTATCAACATTGGTGCGTGGTGCCACGTCAGCGCCTGTATTTGGAAGATCGACATTGTATCAGTGAAGAAAGAAGCGTCACGGATGATAAGGTGAGGGGGATCGCGTCTCTTCATCATATGTATCGTGAAGATTGAATGGCAGAGTGAAGGATGCCACGCCAGCGCCTGCGTCTGGAAGGTCGACATTGCATCAGTAAAGACAGCAGCATCACGGATGATAAGGTGAGTGAGGGGGATCACGTCTCTTTTGTGTCGCATGTTCCCTGCATTGGCCTTTTCTACCGTGGACTTCCCCCTACGCCCTCCGCTCACGCGGATCTCTTCTGGCCCCCTCCAGTCCGGTCCGTCATCTCCYCATGGCCGACGGTGCGTCACACGCCGCCGACACGGCGATGACCACGGCATCGGGCTCCACACCCGTGACGGCGGACCAGGGCCACAGCCCCAAGGGGATCTACACACCCTCCTCACCTCCCTCCTTGCGCCCATCCAGGCGCAACTCGCGACCCTCGCGCCCTTACAGGCGCAGGTGGCGACCCTTGCCGCCGGCATGCAGCAACTCCAGGACGCTTCGTGTCCGTCATCTCCTGGCTCCCAGTCCGGGTCCCCCGTCCTCCGACAAGGTGGTCACGGCGGAGCTTCCTCCTCCGTTGTCCCTGACCCGGCCATCTTGGTGACTGTCCACGCCCCTAGCACGACGGCCGCCACGAGCCAGGCCCCCCCTCAGTCTTCGGGCGCACCCGCCCAGATCCCGGTCACTACGGCCACGGTACAACAACCCGCTACCATGGTCTCAGCTTTTCCGGGTGCCCCACTTCTCCCTCCCCTTCGCACGACCGCAGCGCCACCTGGCTCTCCCCCCTCTGGGATGCCCCGCACCGCTTGTGCGTCCACCCCCTCCACTCTTCCTCTTGCCACCCCTCGATCGACCTACGTTCGAGGTCTCGCGGACAAGATTGCCCAGCTCCGGGCCGACCTCGCCCTCTTACGCCTTCAGCCACCCCCACCCTCACAGGTGGCCGCGCCTTCGGGCGCACCCCCTACCTCCTCTACCCTTCCTCCCATGCCGGCTCACTTTCCGCGCCCTGCACCCTATACAATTCCTTCCTACCTTCTTCCTACTCCCGCGGTTGCTGCGACCTCTTCTACCGCAGCACCCTTGCAGCCTGCCGTTGTTGCCACCGCCGCTCCCCCATGCGGCCCGGGCGCACAGTCAGGTGCGCCCCTTTCTCCAGGACATGCGCCGACTTACTCAACCGTGGCACAGGCCTCTGCTCCTCGATCCCCTCGCCGCCAAAACGGTGGCGCACCACTCATCCGCTTGTCGGACATTGCCTTGTATGACGGTACAGGCATACGCGTGTCTTGGTGGCTGCAGTCTGCTACCCGCACACTCCTTCTCATGGGCGCCACACCCGAGACGTGGGTGGGTCACCTCTCCACGCGCCTGCGTGGCGGTCCTTTCGAGGCCTGGGAGGATTTCTATGCCTACTCCCTTCGTGAGGGTCGGACTCCGACCTTCGTGGATTTCCAGGCGTTCCTCAAGGATCGCTTCGGAGCCTAATACGACGTGACTGACGCCTTCGAGCGTGTCGTCACTACACGCTGGTCCGGCTCTGGTGGAGCTGCCGGCCTGGATCGCCACATCCAGGTCTTTCAGGACGCCCGCCTTGTTTGCGACGTGGCGTTTCTCCCCGAGGCTGCCCTTATCGACCGTTTCTTGGCCAGCCTTCCGCACGAGTACCGCTCAAAGCTATGGCGGTACGAGTTCACATCGGCCCCACAGGCTTACGAGGCCGCCAGGGACCACCAGCGGATGCGAGCCCGTCTGCACCCCGCCTCCTCCTCCCAGCCCCAGCGCACGGGCTACGCCTCCTCCTCCTCTCACGGCACTTCCCAGCGTCGTTCCCCTTTCCGCGGTCGCCCCCGCCGTTCCACGTAGCAGGGCCGCCACTTCTCGCGCTGCTTCAGCGCGCTGGAGTATGGTGAGCAGGACGCTGTTGCCCCACTGTCACCTGAGGGCGACCACAGCGACGACCTCGATCTCTGTGAGGCCGTCCGCTATCACTTGGAGGACTCTACCCTCCTTGCAGCTGAGCGCCTTCAGCTCGCGCTCTCTGCCCTCTCTCGGGCACGCAGCTGCCCCGGTCACGCTGGCGCGTCGCCCTCCGAGGTCCCTCAGGAGGACCTCCCTCACGGCTTCGTCCCTCCTCGTGGTGTCCTTTCCGCTGAGGAACGTGCGACTATTCTGGGTCGGCGTGGGTGTTTGTGCTGCCGCTTGGACGGTCATAGCTCCTCGCGGTGCCCTTACACTACCGCCGTCGACCGCCACTATGCTGACCTTTCTCGTCAGCGTCGTGCTCAGTCCCCCCCCGACGCCTCACGTCCCCGCGGCGCCTCCTAGCCACGGTGCAGTGTACACCTGCGCCCTCCTCAGTAGCCGGCTTCCCGACATCTCCATCGAGGTTTGGCCCTCTCGCTACTGGAGCTGAGGCATCGCAAGACTCAACAGAGTGTACTCAGCCCTCTGTCGCAGTACCGTCTGCGCATCCGCAGACCACCGTCTCCCCTCCTTCCCTGCCGCGACTACCGACGCGTCGAGCCGTTCGCTCAGGCCGTTGTAGCGAGCAGCTCGCTACTCGCGAGGACGTTGTGTCCTCTCTTCTGGACTTGAGCATGCTCCAGGCTCGTCAGGAGCGACTCACTCTCCATGTCGCAGCCCTGCGTCGCCCTCTCACCATCCTCTCTGACCCTGATCGCACCCTCCCGATCATCCTAGTACGATTGGGGACCTCCACGAGGGTGTACTCAGCGCTGTGGGATTCCAGTTCTCAGGGCGACTTCATTCACCCCCGTGTGGTCAAAGAAGCCCGCTTACCTACGACCGGGTCTCCGTCTCCCATCTCTGTCATCCTAGGGGATGACAAGACCCAGCGCTTCTTTGATCAGACGGTCACCGATCTCCCTTTCTTCCTCACCCTCGAGCCGACTGATCGGTCCCCGGCATCTCGTCGCCACCGCTCCTCTGCACATTTGGATGTGATGGAGACGGGGTACGACTTCATTCTCGGCACTCCGTAGTGTCGTCGGTTCCGCAGCACCGAGGCCGATTGGGCGACCAACACTCTCGTTCTCAAAACGAAGTGTGGACATACGTATCGCGTACCTTTCATAGGTACCACTGCGACACCACGCCCCGATCCTCCTCCCCCGGAGCCTTCAGTGCCCACACCATCTCCCTCTATCACTGTCATCTCGCCTCGACAGTTCGCTCACTTCATCCGACAGAACGACGCCACCTTCTTTATGGTGAACGTGATGGATCTCTTACACTATGATCCACCTTGTCCCGACGCCGAGCTCATCCCTTTGGAGCCCGATCCTCCTTCTATCTCCATGACTCCCATCTCTACTTCCGTCCCTCCGCCGTCCGTCGAGTCCACCCCGTCGTCGCGCGTGGACGCTGACGCTGAGGAACTCGCACGATATACGGCCGACTTGGAGCCCGCAGTTCGTGACCTCATCCGAGAGTACCACGACGTTTTCCCATCGTCGTTCTCGTACGCCGGCATCCCACCGATGCGTGACGTCGAGCACTCCATTCAGCTTGTGCCTGATTATCGTGTTCACCACCAAGCACCCTACAGACTCTCGATCCCCATGGCCACCAAACTCAAGCGTCAGCTTGAGGAGCTCTCGAGACTGGGTTTCATTAAACCCAGCAACTCCCCGTGTGGTGCACCCGTCCTCTTTGCTCGCAAAGCGGACGGAACTCTCCGTCTCTGCATCAACTATCGCGGTCTCAACCGCTACACGATTAAGAACAACTACTCCATGCCTCGTTCCGATGAGTTGTTCGGCCGCCTAGCAGGCAACCGCTTCTTTACGAAGATTGATCTTCGTAGCGGTTACCATCAGATCCGCGTCGCTGCAGACGATCAGCTGAAGACCACGTTCCGATCACGATTCAGCCACTGCGAGTTCACGGTGATGCCATTCGGCCTCACTAATGCTCCGGCTACCTTTCAGAGGTCGATGAACGACATCTTCAGGGACATCCTGGAGCAGTACGTTCTCGTCTACCTCGACGATATCCTAGTCTACAGTCGTACCCTTGAGGAACACCTCAGACATCTCCGCGACGTCCTTGACCGCTTGCGCAGACATGGCTTCTACGCCAAGCTGAGCAAGTGTCGCTTTGCCTAGCACAAAGTAGATTTCTTAGGACACTACGTGTCTGACCAGGGTCTCCACATGGACGACGCGAAGATCACTGCTATTGCGGAGTGGCCCGCTCCCACATCCGCCAAGCAGCTTCGCAGCTTCCTAGGCCTGACCAGCTACTACAGTAACTTCATCCGGGGATATGCTAGGTATTCCTACGTCCTTACCTCCATCCTCCTCCGGAAGAACCCACCCTGGGCTTGGACACCCCTCCACGAGGACGCCTTCCGCGCCCTCAAGAAGGCGGTGACATGTGCACCGGTTCTTCACCTACCCGATTTTGACCGCCCTTTTATCCTTATCACCGATGCGTCAGACTTCGTTGTAGGAGCAGTGCTTTCTTAGGTCTTCCCCTCCTCTCCTGATTCCTCTCATCCTCGTATCCCTCGCTTCCCACCACCTACCCCTACCACTGCTTCCCGACTGACGCCTACTCGTCCAGCTACAGACGAGCCTTCTATTAACTATTCTCTTACCATCGCCGAGGACGGCACTTTCGAGTCTCGCTCAGGTGATTGTCCAATAGCCTTCTACTCCCGTCAGCTCCTGCCCGCCGAGATAAACTACACTGCTGATGAACATGAGGTTCTCGCAGTAGTTAATGCCGCTCGGCACTGGCATCACTACCTGCACGGGGCACCATTCACAGTGCGCACGGACAACTCTGTTGTCCAGGCTTTTCTGACAAAGCCGAAGCTCACTCCTCGACAGGCTCGCTGGTGGCGTGACCTATCCGAGTTTAGTTTCACCACTGAGCACATCAAGAGTGAGACTAATCGGGTTGCAGATGCCCTATCCCGACGCCCTGACCACGACCAAGAGCACATCCAGCTCTCTTCCATCTCGGTCACCACCGTCCACCACTCGGTGATCGACGAGTTTCGCCCCGACTATCGCGACATCCACGCGACCCTTCGGAGTGGCAAGACCGTCCCGAACTACTCTCTCGGGGACAACGATCTTGTGTACTGGCACGGTTCACCGGGCACCAGAGAGCCCCGTATTTGCGTTCCCTCCACTGGACAGCTACGTGTCCGAGCAGAAGCAGAGTTCTATGACCAGGCAGCTGCTGGTCATATGGGCTTCCACAAGACGTTGGCTCGTTTGAGCCGCCTGTACGTCTGGCCGAAGCGCAAGGACTTTGTGAAGGACTACGTCGCAAAGTGTCTCACCTGTCAGGAGGTGAACAGTGTGAACCACCTGCCTTATGGTTTGCACCAGCCTCTTCCTATCCCTGAGGGTCGTTGGCAGTTCATCTTGATGGACTTTATCGGTCCTCATCGTCCTCCGACCCCTCGCGGTCATGATGCTATCCTGGTCGTCGTCGACCGCTTCACGAAGCGTGCACACTTTGTTCCGTGCCGCTATGCCATCAGTGCACGTGAGGTCGTCGACATCGTGTTTAACCGAGTCGTGCGTGACCACGGCTTACATCTGAGCATCATATCTGACCGTGACCCGCGCTTTACGAGCCGATTCTGGCGACGGCTCCACGAGGTATACGGCATTCAGCTCCGCTTTTCCTCGTCTTACCATCCTCAAACTGATGGTCAGACCGAGATCACGAACAGGACTCTCGGAGATATTCTTCGAAAGATTGTTCGTGACGACCAGCAGTGGGATCTTCATCTTGCCCACAAGGAGATAGCCAACAACCACGCCGTCTCGCCAGCCACAAGGATGTCGCCTTACTATTGCGACCTCGACTATCACCCTCGTGTTCCCGCGGACTTCCTTCGACCGTCCCAGTTGCACCCCGACACGAGTTGTCTCGCGCTGGACGATTGAGTTGCACACATGACGTCGATCATGAAGACCGCCCATGAGCACATAGCCGCTTCCCAGACTCGCATGGCAGCACGTGCGAACCGATCGAGGATGCATCATCCATTCAAAGTCGGTGATGATGTGCTTATCGACGCCCGCCACTTACAGCTCGAAGCGGACACGCTTCGCAAGTTTCGGCGTCGCTTCTTTGGCCCATGCCGCATCCTCCAGGCCGTCGGTTCTGATACGGCATCTAGCCTGGTCAGCTTCCGTGCGAAGCTGCCCGACTACCTACACCAGGCTCATGTGCACGATGTCTACCACGTCTCGTTACTGCGTCCTTACCGCAGACCGTCTGAGTGTTTCGTTGGACGACCATACGAGCGCCCTCCACCCATCATGGTGGACGGTCACGAGGAGTTTCTCGTTTCAGACATCATTGGTCGCTGAGTCACCGACAACAACCCTCCCCACGTCGAGTATCTCGTACGTTGGAAGGGTTACCCTGATGAGGAGGCTACCTGGGAGCCCCTCGAGCACTTGCAGCACGCTCGCATGTTAGTGCGTGCCTATGACCGTGCTCGTCGTGCTGGGTTCACTGCTCCTCCTCAACCCACTGACCCTCCTCCTTCTCCTCCGGCTGAGGAGACCGCTGAAGTCGAGCCTGCTCCATCTGAGGCAGACCTTCAGCAGCAGCCGGATGCTTCTGAGCTTCCACAGCGCACTCGCCGTCGTCCTGCTCGATACGACGATTGACTCTGACTTACCTTCCCACGTCTTTGACTTCTCAGTACTCCATCCACATCAGTTTTGCTACTTCAGCTCGTCGACGCTACGGCTCTTCCTCGACGGCATTCTGGACTTCTCATCGTGGACGTCATCGGCAGCTTCATAGACTTGATCACGATCAGCTCTGCCTACTTCAGACGTCGCCACTCTCTTACCACTCTACCCTGTACAGTACCCTGCTTGTGTCGCATGATGGTCTCCCTTTAGCCGGGTTCTTCTGAGTTGGGCTCTCCCTTGGCATACGTACAGGCATCGGGACCGTAGCATTGCCCTGGCTTCCCATCTTACGGATCTAGCTCCGACTTCCCTCACTTTAGGAGTCATTTGCATGATTCCCTTACCCATCATCTTTCTACCCTTCGCCGGCCCTCACGCCCTAGTTAAGCAGCCCCGCATGCTTCATCTAGGTGCGCCCAGTATACCAGGCTCCTTTATTCCCATGGTCGACCCTCCATAGCGGTCACCCCTTAGTCGAGCATTACCCGCCCTGATGGTCTATCTGTTAGGGTCATTGGTTTTGTTCGCTCTCAGTTCCCTACCCTCATTGAGCCTGATGACATGTGTCTCCCTGTTATCTATGTGTGGATGCCCTTAGGAGTTTTCGACCCCTAGGCTGCATTCGCCACCCTCAGAGACCATCCCACCCTTTGGTTTGCGACACACTTCTCATGTGACATATGATTGACTTGTTGTTGCTTTGTTGCTCTCAGACTGAGGCTACTGCCTCTGACATTTCTAGGATTTAGTTGTTCTGTTTTTGTTGTTCTTAGGACCTATACACTAGTCAGCTGTTCCAGACTGAGGCTACTGCCTCCAAAATTCTAGGATCTAGTTGTCACTACTTTCTGCTTTCCTAGGACATGGATGCTAGTTAGTTGTTTTTGCTTTTACTTAGGCTGTTAGCTATGACATTGTTGTTTTGTGACGTTTTATATCCTAGGTTGCATCGCATGGAATCAACATGGAGCTTGCTCCGCATCCTAGACTACTCAGGTTTCTTTTCTTTGGTAGAGTTCCGCTTTTTGGCGGAAGCGTGCTTGTATCTAGGTGATCCATCACAGGCCGAGGATCGTGTAGCGGACCTCCGGTGGGCCTGTGAAACCAGCCCCTTGGCCTGTTCTCACAGGCCTGTGTTTTATTCGGGGCAGTCCAGTCCAGGCCGGTACCTCTGTCGGTACCAGCCAGTCCAGTCCAGTCCCGTCAGTCCGCTGGGGTATATCCCAACCTTTGTCTGTTTTCGAGTTCATTCTTCACTTGCACATTTTGGAGTACGTGCGTTGGAGTCTTGCGTGGGGAGCTGTGTTGTGCCATCTTGCTCCCCCCTTCTTCCTCCATCTCCATCTCTACCACTAGCGGAGCACCACACCTGGTGGGTCCGCTACAGTCGTCCAGTAAGGGCACCGTGGAAAGTTGCGCCTCTTGCTGACAGGGGCATGCAAGGAAGTTCAGAGGCCCCAGGGGCACGGCAAGGTAAGTGGGCCTTTGGAGGGGCGTGATGCAAATAATGGAAATTACAGGGGCACCAGACAAATTTTCCCAAAATCCAAACAATCTAGAAAAACTTTTTTTTTTTTTTCACTTGCCCCCACCAGTGTTTGTGGTGCTGATAAGAGCAGACGCCACTAACACCTGGGGAGAGGCTCCATCCATTGGTGGGGAGCATCACCTGCTGGAAAGGGGGTCCAGCGTCCCTTATACAAAATGAAATTGGAGTACGGCTGAAAACAATTGTGGGGTGTTCCTGCCAGCATTGATTACCCTGGGGTCCAGGGGATTTACTCGGCAGGATATTAGAAGGAAGTGTGAACCTCTTCACCCTGAAACCGGCGCCAAATACACTGCTACACCCTAGTTCCTCCCTCCCTCAGTCCCACAGTATGATGATCTGTTATCCCTTATGAGGATGCACTGATAAAACATCTGCCAACATTGATTACTCTGGCGTCCAGAGGATTAATTGTGCAGGTAATTGAGAAATAGGGGGGGGGCAGTATCTGTTGCTTATGTTGCTAAGACTTAATTTCTCCCTCTCTCCGCTGCTCCCATACTGTCCACATACCCTGTCCCAATTCCCACTTTCTAGGCTTGCTGCTGCTTGAAGGCTGCTACTTCCTTTGCGTGAATTTATTCTGCTTCATACCATTGTAGATCCACCATTGAGAGTCCATGGGGCGAGAAGGGTTAGAGAATTCCGAGGAGGGGCGCACTGCCAGCGCTATTGTAGGGTCTGTCCTGATCCATTCCTTGAAACAAAGGGTGTAATCTTTTCTTGGCTCACCTTCACTGTGCTCTGGGGGGACCTCTTCTTTTCATCGAATATGGGTTATCCAACCCCCTTGCTCAGTCCCCAACCAGTCCCCTGAGGATTGTTTGATAGCTTGAGATATGTCATTTTCTATGTGAAGACTATCTAGTTGTGATTTTGCCTTCAACGAATGTGCCCGCCGTTCATCTTGAACATATTGTTTAATCATTTCAGTAACGTCTTCTCCCTCTATTCTAACACCTTCGATGGCGTGAATACACTGTTTTCTCCAAAGTGCCCAAATGATTGTCCTTCTCCATATCTTAAACATGTTATCTTCAAATGTATTATGCGTAGGGGAGGATCAGGTTTCACATAGGAGTGCTCTCCAGTCCCAAGGCCAATGGGATTCAGTATCTAGTTGTCTTCAGACTATGTCCCACCAACGTCAGGTAAAAACCGCCCCCGGGCATTGCATGAAAATGTGTTCTATAGTTTCGAAAATCTTGCGGTGGGGGTAGGAGGCCAGGCAAGATTTGCACCATGGCAGTGCTAGACCCTTCTGTTCCAAATGCGTCCGGTCTATTAGCCAATTGTTTGTTGGCAGGCAGCGGTGCTCAATCTGCCATTGCAAGGAGGCTGATTTCGCAGGTTTGGCCTTTGTGGCCGTGAACCATCGAATGGGGTTGACTGCATCCCGCCCCACGTTCAAGTGAGATATCCACCGTTCTCTCACCGTCTCCTTTAGATTGAGTTTTGGACGCAGCAGGCAGTACGTAGCTTTTACTGAGAGAGTAAATAATTTTTTGCTTGCATCCGGCCGCAATCTGCACTTTGAGGTTCATTGCCACTCCTCCGGGTCGAAGGGTAGTTCTGTGAGTGGGGTTTCCGGGTGGAACGTTGTCCAGTCGTCTTGCGTCCGAAGCACCCGGGTTCGGTGGCAGGTCAGTCTTCTTCCACCATTTCAAGCTATCCAGATGATACCTCCTGAGCCGGTTGTCTTCTTCGCGGTGGAAGAGGTTCACCAGCACTTCATGGGTACCAACCACCACCACACTCCCCACACTTTCTGTATCTTCCGCAATTGCTACCCATTCTCTCTCTGTTAATTGCGGACTTTTTCGTAGAATACGTACCCAATCTAAAGGGACTGCAAAAATCAGCTCTTCCAGGTTTTTTTCGATGTTGTGGCAATATCTCATGGAGGTTTTCAGTTGTTCAGTTGTTTTTCAGGTTTTCCCTCACCGTCTCCTTTAGATTGAGTTTTGGACGCAGCAGGCGGTACGTAGCTTTTACCGAGAGAGTAAATAATTTATTGCGTCCGAAGCACCCGGATTCGGTGCAGGTCAGTCTTTTTTCACCATCTCAGGCTATCCGGATGATACCTCCTGAGCCGGTTGTCTTTTTCACGGTGGAAGAGGTTCACCAACACTTCATGGGTACCAACCACCACCACACTCCCCACACTCTCTGTATCTTCCGGAATTGTTACCTAGTCACTCTCTTTTAATTGCGGACTTTTTCGTAGAATACGTACCCAATCTAAAGGGACTGCAAAAATCAGCTCTTCCAGGTTTTTTTCGATGTTGCGGCAAATATCTCATGGAGGTTTTCAATTGTTCAACTGTTTTCCAGGTTTTAGCTTTTGCCTCCCATAAATCCCGGGTTCTTATCACCCCTCTCTTGACCCACTTGTTCGACGGGGGGGCTGAGCTGCAATAAACTCTCCCGAACCGGTCTGTAATACATATGTTCCCAAAAAGCGGTTTTCTTGCCACTTCCTCCCACCGGTCCGGTGAACTTCTGTCTGGAAGGGGTAGTTGCCACCCTATTAATCATATTCGAAAGATTGCAATTACCTCTCCAAAGCAATGCGGTGGTCTGCCTTTTAAGTGTTGTGACTGCCTCCTTACCGAGGGTCCATATCGCAGATACATACCACAAAGCGGTCAGCACGACGTTATTAATGGTCAACGCTCTGCCAACCAACGACGTATGTTTATCATTTCATTGCACCATTTTTTCTAGAGCAAGCTG